ACCGCTCCTCTTCCGCCACAGGAGGACGCTAGAAACAGCCTCCCCATCCGGTGGCGAGTTGTCAACTATCTCGCCTCGTAATACAGGGAGGTCGCGGGATCGACCTCGACCCCGACGATGCCTGCTGCATATGTGGAGTTTGCGTCTGCTCGCTGTGATCGCTTAAGATTTTTCTCCGGGTCCTCCAGTTTTCCCTCGACACGTAGACACACGCGTTTCGAGTAGTTGGCTGCTATAAAATTCCATGCGACAAACCACTTCGCGGAGCTATAATTTGCGGCCAGGTCGCGTCTGTTAACGAGCTATATAGTTCAGTGGGCCTTACCTGGAAGAAGGAAATGAGGTTCCAATGGTGTAAATGCTTACCCCGAGCTCTCATACTCTGATGGTGCATTGTCTTTGAGTTGTGCGCCATTGTTCAGTAAAAAAAGAATACTGTAGTGTTCTGCTCGTGCCGTGCCACCACAATCGTTTTCTTTTAGCCAGTGCCGGACACTTGGCGATGATGACGATGTGAGGTCATCTACAGTCCAATGAGACGTCACACCCCTGTGATGATGACGTCCCCACGCCGTTTGGGTCGTGTGTGAAGGCGGAGAGTATATTTATTTATTGTTGTGTATATGTAATGTCTCTACTCTTTGGTTCTTTCGGTAAAGTCACGTAGAAAATAAAATCAAATAATCATAGAATACGACGTTTCGGTTGCAACACAAGCAACGATCATCAGGTAAGAATGAATGATAAAACGCAGACACGGGAACAGCACAGGCAGACACATGCAGAGAGAGACACATACACAGACACACCGAGAGAGACACACAAACACGCAGAGAGAGGCACACACAGTGAGAGACACACAACACAAATACACACAAAGACACACACAAAGACACATGCAGAGAGAGACACACACAAAGACACGTCCAGCGAAACACACACCAAGACAAACAGAAGGACAACGAATATGTGCCGAGGCCTTAAATAGAGAGAGGGGGGAGGGGCCGGGGCAGAAAGAGGACTGGGGAAGCGGGACCAGTGGACAGACGAGGGGACAAGGAGGGAGCAGTGTGGAATTCCGTACCACAGTTTGCCGGAAGAGAGACAATGGTTAAGGGCAAGAAAATCGAAAGTTTGAGAAAGCAAATTTAAATTTCGATTTAAAGCTTTCGTGACTGCAGGGATTCATCTTCTTGGTTCTTTCGGTAAAGTCACGTAGAAGGGAAATAATAAAATAATAAAAATTAAATATAATAAAATAATTCTCACGACGTTTCGGCCACAGACCTGTTCTCCACCTGAGGACGGCTGCTTGCGTTGTGGCCGAAACGTCGTGAGCATTATTTTATTATGTTTTATTTTTATTATTTTATTATTTCCATTCTACGTGACTTTACCGAAAGAACCAAGAAGAAGAAAGCTAATTTAGTAAAATTAAGAAGTTTAATGCAATGCAATTGTATATGTAATGTACATTGAACTTCTTTCGCGCCGTACGTAGCCAAACGCGTTCATCGGATGTGCGGGTGTAGTACGATTTCTGTCACCGCTGGGAGTCGGATGCTCGCTTGCTTGCTGGCACTGCCCTCTGCTTGCTGACACTGCCCTCTGCTTGCTGACACTGCCCTCTGCTTGCTGACACTGCCCTCTGCTGCTGGCACTGCCCTCTGCTTGCTGACACTGCCCTCTGCTTGCTGGCACTGCCCTCTGCTTGCTGGCACTGCCCTCTGCTTGCTGGCACTGCCCTCTGCTTGCTGGCACTGCCCTCTGCTTGCTGACACTGTCCTCTGCTTGCTGACACTGCCCTCTGCTTGCTGGCACTGCCCTCTGCTTGCTGGCACTGCCCTCTGCTTGCTGGCACTGCCCTCTGCTTGCTGGCACTGCCCTCTGCTTGCTGACACTGCCCTCTGCTTGCTGACACTGCCCTCTGCTTGTTGACACTGCCCTCTGCTTGCTGGCACTGCCCTCTGCTTGCTGGCACTGCTCTCAGCTTGCTGACACTGCCCTCTGCTTGCTGGCACTGCCCTCTGCTTGCTGACACTGCCCTCTGCTTGCTGGCACTGCCCTCTGCTTGCTGGCACTGCCCTCAGCTTGCTGGCACTGCCCTCTGCTTGCTGGCACTGCCCTCTGCTTGCTGGCACTGCCCTCTGCTTGCTGACACTGCCCTCTGCTTGCTGACACTGCCCTCTGCTTGCTGACACTGCCCTCTGCTTGCTGACACTGCCCTCTGCTTGCTAGCACTGCCCTCTGCTTGCTGGCACTGCCCTCAGCTTGCTGACACTGCCCTCTGCTTGCTAGCACTGCCCTCTGCTTGCTGGCACTGCCCTCAGCTTGCTGACACTGCCCTCTGCTTGCTGGCACTGCCCTCTGCTTGCTGACACTGCCCTCTGCTTGCTAGCACTGCCCTCTGCTTGCTGGCACTGCCCTCAGCTTGCTGACACTGCCCTCTGCTTGCTAGCACTGCCCTCTGCTTGCTGGCACTGCCCTCAGCTTGCTGACACTGCCCTCTGCTTGCTGGCACTGCCCTCTGCTTGCTGACACTGCCCTCTGCTTGCTAGCACTGCCCTCTGCTTGCTGGCACTGCCCTCAGCTTGCTGACACTGCCCTCTGCTTGCTAGCACTGCCCTCTGCTTGCTGGCACTGCCCTCAGCTTGCTGACACTGCCCTCTGCTTGCTAGCACTGCCCTCTGCTTGCTGACACTGCCCTCTGCTTGCTGGCACTGCCCTCAGCTTGCTGACACTGCCCTCTGCTTGCTGGCACTGCCCTCTGCTTGCTGGCACTGCCCTCTGCTTGCTGGCACTGCCCTCTGCTGGACACCACGGCCAAGTTTCTCAGGTTTTATAAAACAATGTATAATTTTTTGTAAGTGTTCATTGCTAGACATCTATATGTGCGGCAAACCGGTAACCGATATTTTTGCGCGGGTGTTTTTGTTCACGCGGTTAACTAGCAATGCAACCGCCCTCCACGCCCTAACCCTAATTGTAACAACTCCTATCTCTCCGACTTCTAACTGGAACGCCAGTGGCTCTTCTCCGTCGTAAACAACAGGAATAACGCTTCGCCACTCGTAAAGATAAAAAAAAAACTTCCAAAAAGAACTGCACTTTATTTTACAAACGGAGGCGACTGGACGCCTCATTGCAAAGTAACAACAACAGCAGCAGCAGCGACAAACACAGCAGCACGATTCCAAGTAGACACCGAATTCCCACTGAAGCCCCGGCTCGCAACCAACGGTAAAATAGAATGCCAAAACACACACACACGCTTCAATATAACTCGAGGCCCGACATTTAAACAACAACAACAACAAAGTACACTCCTGACGTGGGGAGGAGTAGTGGCGCAGTGGTTAGCGCGCTGCGCTGTGATACGGGGCCGTCCATAAATGACGTCACTCGATTTTGGACGATTTTTTACCCCCCCCCCCCCATCGTCACACGGCGTCACAAAAAGTCAGACCCCCCCTCCCTCAAATACGACGTCACAAAGCTCTGACCCCCCCCCCCCCCCCCAAAAAAAAAACAAATTCCATTTTGAAAATAAAACATGCTTCAAATCGCTTTAAACTATTGTCATTCTTGATTTGAAGCTTTCGTGACTGCAGGAATCCGTACTCTTTGGTTCTTTCGGTAAAGTCACGTAGGTAGAAAATAAAATAAAATAAATCACGACGTTTCGGGCGCAACACAAGCGTCCGTCATCAGGTGGCAAAGCACGCTTGTGTTGCGCCCGAAACGTCGGGATTTATTTTATTTTACACCTACGTGACTATTGTCATTGTAGTGCGCATTTAATGTGGTGCTGCACTCTGATGCTGTAGGAGAAAACATGTATTAAAAGTCTATTTAAGTAGAACGTGTTGTCTATATTTATATAAAGATGCGCATTCTGATGTGAAGTCACATTTCTCAACCCCCCCCCCCCCCCTCGGCACACATCGTCACACAAATGTCTGACCCCCCCACCCCAGGTGCGTGACGTCATTTATGAACGGCCCCTTTAACACCCGAGAAGAGTCGAGACATGTGGACAGGTCCTCGACGGCTGCCAACCACACCACATCTCCCTCCCCCCACCCCGCTCGCCCTTCCCGACATCAAACCGCACCGGCCGGCGTGGTGAAGTATGATAAACACAACGCACAAAAACAGCCTCGTGACTGACAGCGTGGGAAGGAGAAAGGCCTTTGCCCAATCGTGACTTCACAAAGAAAGCGAAGTGAATTATATTATTATATTATTATAATTCTCGTCGTCGTGAAGAGCGCTGAGCTTCGTGCAGTCAAAATTGTTCAATCTCACGCGGTCAACAACTGCGTCGGAATTGAGTCGGGTTTAGTTGGTTGTTGGTCAAATTATTCCCTTTCTTACTAAAGCTCGAGCGAGTCTAGAGACGTCGTGTTTTTTCAGGACGGCTCCGCGATTGAACTGCATTCCTGTCGCTTTCAAGGGGGCAAAGCAACGGCGCTCACGAGGTGATGACGCTCATGGTAATACTAATTTATATTTATTTTCACTAATGTCTCAAGGCGCCTTGTAAGAATCAGGAAAGGCCAAGAGAAACAGAGAAGCTAAATATAAAAAAAAAATTTGACTCCCGGTGTTCTAAGACGATTCTTAAAGTATGGGGCCGTCCATAAATGACGTCACAAAGCTCTGCCCCCCCCCCCCCCCCCAAAACCATATTTTCATTTTAAAAATAAAGCATGCTTCAAATCGCGTTAAACTATTGTCATTGCAGTGCGTATTTAATGTGGCGCTGCACTCTGATGTTGTAAGAGTGTTGTTATAACAATTAGTGTTGTTATAACAATTCTATATTTATTTAAAGTTGCGCATTGTGACGTGACGTCACATTTCTCAACCCCCCCCCACCCCCTCGTCACACATCGTCACAAATGTCTGAACCCCCCCCCCCCCCCTAGGTGCGCGACGTCATTTATGGACGGCTCCTATCCACGTTATCGGATAAACGACATTTGCAACGGAGGGGAAATTCTATAACCGTGGCGCAGACCCAGCAAAAAAAATGCACCTGTCGGACACCTTACTTGCTGTACTGCATTGCTCAGGCGACTGGCTGCCCTCGCAACCTCCGTGCGAAGCCACCAACAATCCCACCTCCAAATCGATGCCGGTTATCGCGCCACCGCAGGGAGGCAAATCGGTGGTATCAGTAAGATGGCAGTCCAGCAACAACGTGCGACTCGCGTAGAGGGGGAAGGCTCCCCAACTCGCAAGGATTTCGCCTTGTCCGTAAAATGTACGGATGTTTGAACGTCATCCCCCTCCTCACGTTACATTGTTTTTCTAGGTTTATTTTGGTGATTTTGAAAACGTTTTGGTTTAGCCATGTTTGTTTGTGGTCGTACAGAGTTAGCCTGATAACTTTAATATAAATTGTCTTATGGTTGTTATTGTTTGACTTGCATCCCATTGGGATTTTTGCACACAGCGTTGAAATACGGTGCTTCGTCTGGAAGACTTTGCTGTTTTTTCCTGGATTTTTCTGTTGCGTGCAGTCACTTTAAGATGTTTCTTGTTCATGTTTTTGTGTTTGTTGCGGTTGCACCCGAGTCAAGAGCCGCATGGCTCACAGGGTTATTACCTAATACATGAAACTGAAACTGACTGAACGTGTTCATTCGTCACGTGCAGTCAGCGAGGGGCCGTTGTGCCAAACGTGCGACCTCTTGCGTCGAGGCTATTTGGATTATTTAGCTGCGAGAAATGTCCAAGTGATACGCCACCTTGTTGAGCTATCATTTTGTGGCCAGGTCGCTTTTGAAAAATAAGTTAATACCTCGAGGGGCCTTTGTCTGGTAGGATGGGGATGGTTTAGTTTAATTTGTATGTGTTTGGGTGATTTAGGTAAAAAATAAAATAAATGAAAAAACAACCAAAAAATGTTTCATTTATTTAATTTTTTACCGCCGTGACTTTCCGAAAAAAACAGTCACGAAAACTTCACATCTAGAATTTGGGTGATTTGTGTACCATTCTTGTACTTGGCACTCGTGTTTGTGTTCTGTTTGTTGTTGTGCCGTTCTGACTCCTCCCCAGGCCCCTACCGAACATCCGTGACAAGAAACAGCTTCACAGGCTCATCGGATTCCTCCTGCAGCATAAATACATCATTCTCGTTCTTGCGACAGCATTCGCATCAACTGCCCTCGGCTGCCACACGTCGCGGCGTGCTCTCGAGTGCTTTGCTTGATCCACTGATCACGTGGGGCGACCACGACGGCGGGTGCCCAATTCCTTTGAGGGTCGCAGTCCATCAACTTCGAACGTCGATCTCGCACCAACAGCAACGCAGCGAGCGCAATGTGCCGCTGGAGTTTACGCACCGAGACGGGGCGACATCGGTCTGCAAAGCGACGATCCGTCTAACGTCCCTCGAACTGAGCTCTCGATCGCACAGGGCGGCCGCCGGGTCTGCAGATGTGACGGCGACATTTCTGACGAAGTCGAGCCATCGAACGCCCGAGATAGGCGTCATTGGCGTCTTTCGAATCGCGTGCGGAAGGACTGCGGCCGATCCAAATCGTCTTGCAAGCAATGTCCAGGCCGTATTAAGGCACGCGGTGTGGTTTTAACTCTTTGCGAAGTAGCGCGCGGATTGTAACTGGAACTGCGATTGGACGGAACACGTGACGTGCGGTTAATCTCGACTTTAATTCTCAGTCGCATGCGTCTTACCCATTAAGCACGCCAACGTTGGGCTAACGTTGACACGTGGCTGGAAGCGCCGAACCAACTTTGGGCCAACGTTGACTCAACGTTGCGTGTTTACTGGGTCAATGTTTGTCTTCGACAAAATATACAGCGACGTGTGGATTCTAATCCTGCTCGCGAACAGGACGAACCTTTTAACGAGACGTGTGCACGTTTGATTCATTCCCTAGATTTTTTCCAAAGAACATTTATTCAAATAGACAGAAATTATTGACATTTAACTTTTAATTGAAAAAAGCCCTGTGCATGTTTGTGGGGAGCGGTGGTGTCGCGGTTAGCGCGCTGTGCTACGAATTCGGCGACCCAAGTTCCGATTCCAGCTCACAGTCAATACCGGTCACGATTATCTTAATCGGGTCTTGGACCTCCCCTAGGTCGACTCAGCCTCAAATGAGTACCTGGTGCGGTGTGTAGTTAACATCGCCACTGGGGAGACAAAGGCGGTCGTGCGTGGTGCTGGCCACCCACTCCCTCGTGTGCCGTGCCGGCCATCATCGATATTCGCTAACAGCACTTGCCCCAACGGTCTGTTAAAGCTACACGGGGGATATTCATTCTTTGCTGTGGAGCGGTGGCGCTGTGATTAACGCACTAACGACCATCCCAGCATCCCATGGCTATCGGCGGTGGCGAACATCTGAGCCGGTCCTACGTCTCCCAACGCCTTACATTATTACCTGCCTTGGCGTGTAAACGTCAGCACTGGGGAGGCAAAGGCGTCCGGGGGCGTGATGCTTAACACACCTCCCCCTATTGAGTCGGGTTTCGCCTTAATAGGTGCTCGCGAACGGCACTTTGTATCGACAGACTGCAAGGGCTACAAGGCGAATCGTAGTGTGCGTGTGCACGTGCATGTGCGCAGTGCCGGATTAAGCTAGTGCGGGGCCTGTAGCATATGTTATAAAGGGGCTCTAAATATATTTAAAAAAACATAAATATTAAAACACAATTTTTTTACTTGCATAGTAAAGTAATTGTATTTTCTCATTTGCTATACAGCCAGATAATGCGACAAATCGCTAACCTTAACCACCCAGCCGTTCATAAAAGTTGAAGGCGGTATAGTACTATGGTAATAGAGCAAGTGCAGAATCACTGAACCGGAATTGATAGCTTGAAAGCATTTAGCGCGGGGCCCTTGAAAGTGTGGGGCCCATAGCATATGCTACTTTAGCTACTAGGATAATCCGGCACTGCATGTGTGCACGCGCTTCGTCTTGTAGAGGAACCAACACACAAGCGGTGCAGCAATTGCATGACCAACAAAAGCTCTCGGCCTTGCCCAGACCACGAGCTCAAAAGAACTGAACACGTTGCCATTTTGTCATTTCAGAACCAGCGATTGCAAGGGCCGAGAGAATGTGGCCATCCCGACAACGGGCAGCCGTTGAAACAAAGACACAAAAACTTGCAGACAGATCAATGTTTGCTGCTGCAATACGCAGCTGGGATCCCCATAATATGGTGAGGACTGGCACCCTTACGCTATGGGGAGCCCGTTCGCCGTTTCCTGAAGGCAACAGTCACTCAGATGACCTGTTTGTGACCCAACAGGAAATGTTCCCTTGCAGCCAATGAGGCCTCCAGTGTGACTGTGCGGTCAGTTTAGCACAACTCCATGCTGCAGGCCACGCTCACTGACGCCTGCTGTATGTTTGGAGTTTGCGCGTTCTCTCTCTCTCTCCTCACCGTAGTCGCGTGGAATTTTCTCCCAACTCCTGCGGTGTTTCCCTCCTACATTGTGAATCACGCAATTAGCACGTACGGCGCGAAATAAGTTCAACATACATACATTTGGCTGCTAGGAATTTCCACGTGACAAGCCACTTCGTTGACCTATCATTTGTGGCCAGGTGGCTTCTGAAAAGGAGCTATTAAGCTCAGGGGGCCTTACCTGGTAAAATAAAAATTAGATAGTTTAATAGAAAATAAAAATGCGTCGTTAACTTTTTACTATTATACAAGGTCACGTCTGCCGTGGAGATGGAACAATGAAATTAGGCCGTACGTAGGTTTTAGGTGGATTCCTATCCTGTACAATTGCAGGACCGATTATTTTGATTTGGGGTGCTATACCCCCACCCCCGCCCCCTTCTTCTTCTCCACCCCCCTTCCCTCCGCCACCACCATCTCCTCTTCAGCAGCTGGAGAACTCCGACTCGGACGTGACGGAGGTGACGCGGCCACGCTGGTAGTGGGCGCTGACGCTCGCCGGGTACCGCGCGATCGCGTGCACCCCCCCTCCTCCGCCACCGCCACCGCCGGCCTTGCGCGAGGAGCGCAAGTGCTTGAGCAGCCGGCCCAGTCGGCGCTTGAACTTCTCCCCGATGAAGGCGTAGAGCACGGGGATGAGGCAGCAGTGAGCGAAGCCCAGGCCCTCCGTGACGGCGAGCGCCCGGGCCAGCGTCTCCTCGAGGGCGCACGACCGCGCCGCCGCCGCCTCCGACCCCGCGTCCGTGCCGTCCTGCGACCGCTGCTCGGCGCCCGGAGCACCGACGCCGAGGCGCGCCAGCGTGTCGGCCACCACCACCGCGTTGTAGGGCAGCCAGAAGACGAAGAAGACGGCGACGATGGCGACGGTCACCCGCACGGCCTTGCGGCGCTCGTGCACCTGCGAGCGCGACAGCCGGCGGATGATGCTGCAGTAGCAGAAGAGCATGACGGCGCCGGGCGCCACGAAGGCGAGCAGCAGGTGCTTGGCCCGCAGCGCGGCTTGCCACGCGGCCGCCTGCCCCTCGGGGTAGGCGTGCTCGCAGCGGCTGGCGCCGCTCAGCGGGTCCACGGTGACGGCGCCGAACGCGAAGTCGGGGGCCGTGAGCGCCAGCGAGAAGAGCCAGACGAGGGCGCAGGCGCGAGAGCCCCGCGCGGCCGCCGCGGCCGCCCCGGCGCGGTTCCCGTCGCGGCGCGCCGTCGTGGCGTGCACGATGGCGCGGTAGCGGTCGACGCCGATGCACGCCAGCAGCAGGATGCTGCAGCTGAGGTTGAGGGTGTGCACCGCGTGCACCGTGCGGCACAGCGCCGTGCCCAGCCGCCAGCGCGCCGTCGCGTTCACCGCCACGAAGGGCAGCGTGGCGACGAACAGGAGGTCGGCGGCCGCCAGGTTCAGCAGGAAGCGGTCGGCGGCGGTGGGCTGCCCGCGGGAGGAGCGCGGCCGCAGGGTGAGCACCACGGCGACGAGGGCGTTGCCCGCCAGGCCCAGGAGGCACACCGCCGAGTAGGCGGCCACGAGGAAGTTGCGCTGGAAGAGCCACGTGGCCGAGAGGTCGCAGCCGGCGTCGTGCGGGGCGGTGGCGTTCTCCTCGTAGTCCAGGCCCACCAGCCACGAGAGGTTCACGTTCAGGTTGAAGGGCTCCAGATCGTCAGACTCCATTGCCTAGAGCAGAAATGGGGGAGGGAGGGGGGGAAGGAGGGGTCCAAAATAACAAGAAGAGACATTTTTATTCTCGAATTCGGTGAACAAAAAACGTGTTTCGAGAGCCGCAGTGCAGTGTGGTGAATACGAGGCGGTGCTGAATGAATTACGTCACGGAGCAGTCCTTGAAGAGCCGCAGATTGCCGCCCGCTGGCCTAGGGGTTGCAGAGGAGGATGTGGGGTGGTGGTGGTGGTGGTCGTGGTGGAGAGCGGGGGTGCAGTGGTTAGCGCGCTGCTCACCTCCGATTTGCACGATTGGCGAAAGAAGATCAACATACCTACATACAGGCGCTACGAACCCGGCAACAACGGGTTCGATTCCCACTCATGGCCACCACCGGTGACGATAATGATCTGAACCGGTCCTGGGCCTCCACTAGGTCGACTCAGCCTCAAATGAGTGCCTGGTGCGATGTGTAAACGTCACCACTGGGGAGACAAAGGCGGCCGGGCGTGGTGCTGGCCAACCACCTTCTTCGTGTGCCGTGCCGGTCATCATCGGTACTCGCTAAAGGCACTTTCCCCAACAGTCTGTTGAGGCTATACGGGGGATCTTTGTGTCTTTAGTGGTCGTGGTGGTGGTGGCGGTGGTGGCGGACATCTGTAAACATTCTCCGAAGCACATCCAGGGTCGGATTAACCCATGGGCTCATAAGGCATATTTTGTAAGCCAATTCAATCCATGTTGATGGAACAGGATCACCTCCTGCTTAGCTCCCCAGATAATAATAATAATGCAATTTATAACGCGCGCAAAGTTGCGGACGTAACGGCCACAACTCAGAGTCGCTCGAAAGCACGTGGTTATAGAGGTGAGTTTTTAAGTCTCTCTTGAAGGAGGCGATTGAGGTGATGCTGCGAATGTGCAGAGGGGTGACAGCGTTCCAGACTGTTGGGGCTGCCACCGAGAAGCGGCGCATAGCCGTGACCATCCTGGATCTGGGTATCAAGAGGAGGTCGTGAGTCGCGCTGCGCAGGCATATCTGTCGTGTGCTGAGCTGCAAGTTGTCAATAATGAAGAAAGGTACGGCGGACAGGCAGATGTGAAGGCGCGGTGGCAGAGGTTTAGCCCACGCAGTTCATCGTGGCCGTGACGGATACAATGAGCCGGCATCGCGTTGCATTCTGGCTTCAATAATTCGGGTTTTGGCCACCGGCGATTAAAATCGGGTATCTCACGTGGAGAGCGGTGATGGCCTCGGACCTGGCCGCCAATGATCGTCACGCCGAAAGAAAAGAAAACAAGAAGAAGAAAAAAACTCCTTCGCGTAAAATCGATATTTTTTCTTTCTTTTTTTTACTTAATTCTGAGAAAGAACAGGCTTGGGAAACGCCACATCACAACGGCATGCGGCCGTGGGGGACGAAGCTGATAGCGTAAGATTCGTTATCGTCAACGTTTCGGACGCACGGAGGCTTGGGCTTGCCAACCGCCACCGCCACAGCGTAACGGTCGCACTGTACGGCTCTGCGATGTGCGACTCGGGGTGCCGTGCCCCGCGCGAACTCGATCGAGCTCCTGAATAAGCCCCTAGCACGTGGCAGCAAAAACGTCGGACACGGTGTCGTCAACACGATGCCCGACGTTTCGCTCCATGCGGCAGCAGCCACGCCGGTAAGCTGGCACTAATGGCAATTGCCCAGGCTCTGCAATCCTCTATATTGAGGTGTTAGTAACCATCTAATGAGGACCCGGAGCACACGGAGAAAACCCACGCGTGCGAGGGAGCAACACTCTATCCCATGCAGATGTGAAACAGACGGCGAAGAGTCCACTTGCTGTACCGCCTTCTCCTGGCGAGCCGGGGGGTGTCTCTCGTCCTCGACGTCCACGGGAAGGGAGTTTCACCACATTAGTGTGTGCTGGTGATCCGCCAACCCTCGCCGCTGCCTCCGATTATCACGGTTGGCAGGGTACGGTGCGAAAGAAGTTGAACGTACATACAAACGCAGTGCTGGATCACAGGCAGCCACGCCCTCTGCGTTCACAATCCCAGCAGTCTGTGTCCCCCCCTGTGCCCAATCACGATTCACTCCGTTTTCCCCTTCTGGCCTCCTTACACTGGAACGAGCTGCCCCTCAACGTCAATCACTCAGCATCACTCTCCGTGTTTCGTTCTACCCTAAAGACACTCGCTTACTTGCCCTCCTCTTTCCCCCCCCCCTCCCGTCCCCATCATTAACACCGTTCATCCCCCTTTCCCAACTTCCCAACCCATCGTCACGCTCGCTTACTCATCATCAACCACTCATTTTACTGGTAGGAGCCTCCTGGTTACACCAGCCCACAGGGGATTATTGTGTCCGTCGTGCAAGGAGGGGCTGGGTGGGGAGGGAAGGGCTGGGTGGGGAGGGGCTGGGTGGGGAGGGTGGGGCTGGGTGGGGAGGGGAGGGTGGGGAGGAGAGGGGCTGGGTGGGGAGGGGCTGGTCACCCCGTGGTGCCCTTATAAAACTCAACGTTTAACCTACTCACGCCGGCTTGTGCCCGCCCTCACAGTCGGGCATATTTGCGGAATACACCACGCCGCCGTTGACCCTGGCCATTGACCGAGCAACCCAACGTTCCTACCAGCTCCCTCCGCAGGAATGTGTTCACTTTCATCACCGTTCGTTTTCACGCATCATCATCACCATCATCACATTCATCACGCACGCGCGCGTGGAAATTCTTACGCGCCGTACGCAGCCAACCGTGCGAACGACAACAACACTAAAGCTGCAATTCTTCTCCTCGACTCATCTCATCACACTGCTGCTGGACAAGGCGCTATATACATTTTTAATTAGAAGACCCCCCCCCCACACACACACACACAAGGTGAGGCGCAAGGTCGTGAGGGGTCATGGAGGCGAAAGCGGATGACGTCGTCACACCTCGCCCACGTCGCTTCTGCCAGTGCCTGGAGTGGTTGAGAAAGTTGATAGCATTCGCAGTAATCGGGTCATCGTGAAAGACCCAACGCAGACGATCCCTGGGTTTAATCTTCCACGAAGTTCACGGTCCACCCTGAAATGCACGAACTGTGGTGGCGCAAATGGGCAGCTAGGAACTCTCCTACTGCAGTGTGCGTCTGTGGTCATCCAGATGCCCGATCCACATACACGAGGGAGACATCACAGCGAGAACACTCAGCTGCTCATGGCGCGGTTATCTGCTGGCTTGACCAACTGGACGTGAAATCGCGGTTTGTTGCTCTGCATCCACACCAGGCGTAAGAAAGAAGAAGAATAAGATTGAGGTCGGGTAATCCTAATGAGGATCCCTTGTTAGGATCACAGCGATGCTCATCAAGACGAGAGGCATCCACAGTCAACTGCCCCTCCTTCACTGCTGCTGCTGTCCGTCAGTCGGGGTACACATTTTGCCCTGGACCGCAATTGCACCTCTGCAGGAACTGTTGATAGGGGTTTTGTTTTTTTTATTAAATTTTTCATTTCTTTTTTTACGGTTTAACAAAAAAGGCCGCGTGTTTTGAACCCCGTGTTCAGTGCGTCGCTTGAAACCCTCGCGGTCTCCCACCAGGGCCGGATTGAGGCACGGGAGCTTTGGGGTTGGCTGTCACTATCTCTGTATGTCACCAATGTAATGTTTGTAGACCCCTTCATTTCATGTCCTCGCCTTCCAAACTCCAGGTAGCTTATTTCCCGTATGTGTATAAAGATATTTAGGCTCGCTGGTCTCGGCATAAAACTGCAATGAAAAGCACCAGGGGAGGCAGCTATCACATCTGCCTCACTGAGGGGGACGTGTCTAACACGCCCCCCTCAGTGAAGACACGCCCCCTCAGTGAAGACACACCCCCTCAGTGAGGCCACGCCTCCCTCAGTGTGTGAATCTGGCTCTGACACGAGCCAGTGCCTCCCCAGCCATTGACCTCACCGCAAGTCACTGGTTTAGAGTGTTTAGCTGGGATACATTTCCACATGATAAGCCACTTCGTTGAGCTATCATTTGTAGCCAGGTCGCTTCTGAAGAAGAGCTACGTGGATCAGTGGAAGCCTTACCTGGTGAAATAAATAAAACTAGTTTAAAAGATGAACTACTACTACCTTTGTTGTGGATTAGAGGTCACTCGATTTTTCAGAATTTGTTTTGTGGTAGGAGGAAACGAGTGAGGCTGGATGCAACCTACACACGTGGGGCCGTACCTGGTGAAATAAAAAAGAGTTTATAGTTTAGGATGAAAAGAGTTTATAGTTTAGGAATAGGTTTCAGAGGAGCCCAGCCAGCAGCCAGCCAGGAAACTCGATGCATTGATGATCTCTTATAGTAGTAGTACGATGGTTCAGACGGTGACATAGACAAAAATACGCAGAATAAGGAGTTGATGGCACGTGGGATATAAAAAGTTAAAAAGGTAATATAATATTTTCGACTTTTTAACTCTGTGCTACCACCGCAGTGTTCCCTCGAACCTGATGAGCGGGAAGGCACCAGCAGCTACGCGGTCAGTTGGTAATTTCCCAAGCTCTGCGGTCCTCCATCCATTCATATTTTTTTCACCCAATAAGGCGCGTTTATAAGTGTGGCAGGAAACCGGAGCATGTGCGAGAGGCGGGGGAGGGGGGGTAACTCTATCGAGTCCACATTTGTGTAAGCGAGCCAGGGTGTGGGGTGGGGGGTCATCACAACACCCGCGGGTAGGAGAGTTTCACAACATTCGTGCGGTGATCCACCAACAGTCGCTGCTGCCTCCACAGCGCTGGATCGCTGGCAGCCGCTTGGTGCGGAGTGGCCGCCACCGCCGCCTGGTGAGATGATTGATAGACGACGACGATGGTGATAGCGATAACGACGATTTGTGTTTTGGTTGGGGCGCGGACGGTAAGTGGAGGTCATGTTTCTAATAACACTGGTCAACAATAAAAACACATTTTTTTTCTGGCCTGGACTTTTGCAGCTGTTTTAGACTAATTTCAGGGTGCTGATTCCAAATCTGGTCTCAGATTTGCTCTATCACATCATTTTTACGCTATCGGCATACCCCATTTTCATTGATTTTACCCGAAATTAACTCTGTCACTTATGATTGCAAGTTGTTGCCAGTCAATGACTGCTTTAGTGTTAAAATATGGTGCTGTATTTTTAGGATAGTGTGTTTATAATATCATTTTATGTAGATATCCACATTTATTTAATATTTTTCTTCTGTAGTTTTTATTGAAAATGCAATATTTGATATCTCAAAAACCTGATTTGATAGACAACTAACTGATGCCAGCTTTGGAATCAGCACCCCAAAATTACATTAACACCGTTGGAATACCTTATGCCAGAAAAAGTGTGTTGACCAATGTAATCCTAATCATTTTACTCGTAATAATAACAACAATGTGACCTCGTGCAATGCCCTCCGCCATGACCACAATAACAAGGCAAACCCCCGTGGCGAGTTTCCTCTTTGCGTTCAGCAACCAGGGTCGAGCGATAACATCGACACGATGAAAACAACACAGCCGCGAGTGCTAAACTATTTTTTTTCATTTACCGTGCAAGCCCCACTGAGCGATGT